TGTATATTTCAAATTCTTCAATGATGCAGAGTTACAAAGTTTATTCACACAGTAGCTAGTAATTGAGTGACATCTCTATAGTTTAAAAGAAGGACTTTTAGACTGCCTTTCATTCAGTGGACATAGAGAAGATGATAGAGAATATGTATATATAGAGAGGATCTGAACTTTATCTAGTTCAGAAGTCTGCAAGGATGACAAATCTTTGGATATTAATTGACTAGTTTTTTTGTTTTGTTTTGTTTTTTCAGCTTGCTTGTTTCAGGCAGCTTGCATTTCTTAATGAAACAAGTTTATGCTTCAAAACATTTTATTTTTTTCTTCTTGTTGAAATATAAGGCTTTCAAGCAAGGGTCATTGTACAAATAAACATAGTGTAGTGAAGGAGATATGTATATTTAAGTATATATATATATATATATATATATAAAAAACAGAAGTTCTTAATATCCTTTCTGAAATCTTTCAGCAAAACAAATTCCAAATGACTTCCTCTTGGAATTGAACACAGCAGCCAATATTAAATCCTGAGCATTTATCATTCACATAATTATGTTTATTGCAGTAAATTTTATTCTACCTGAAGAATCAGGTGCTGGAAAAAGCTTCACTTTCAAATGAAATCATTGTGTAATAATGTGATTCAACACATTTATATTTTATACATCATTTTATATTAACACATCACAATAAGGAGGTATTACATGTTGCCAGGTGGTTTGTGGAATAGCTCTCTCAGGTGGCTATTTACTCTATATCTCAGGTGACAAGTGACGGAAAATATCTTCTAAAATACCAGATGGGAGAAGGCCTGTGAACAATTCAGCTCTCCTTCACTAAAATATGTTCTTTGTCTTTTCACTGTGGCAGTGATAGTCACTCTTACATCTCCCCACTGTGTTGGTGCAATGAGCATTTATCCTCTTGGTACTGTATTAGCCTCAGCTACTAAGTTAAACACATACTGAGCTTAACATCAGACATGTCTGATTGCTTGCTATACTCTTTGGGCCATTCCCTTTTTTCTCAGGGACAATTTTTGAAATTGACTTTAGATCATCTTTACCTGTTCACTGTGGAAAACAAAGTTTCCTTCCTAGAAACCATTCAAGCTATTCTCTGTTTTACTTTCTCAGTTGGAATAAGATTTATGCAAACTTGCACAGATGCACACGTATCTACATATATATAAATTATATTTTTCTCTAAGGGGAGTCATACTTTCTCTGAGGAGCAGCATTCTGCTTTAGGAGGGCTGAAATGAAACGGGTGAGCTTTGTTCCTGGAGAGCCATCAGTGTTGAGGACCAGCTCCTTGCTGAGCAGAGCTCTCTGCCTGCCCATCAGACATTTGTCTGAGGAATTTGGGAGCCCAGAGAAGTGAAGGGAGCAGCTCAGCAAAGCACAATATAATTTCTAGAGACCCAACAATTTTAGGCAACTCTATTAGCTGCCAGGGAGCTTCTGGAAACCTGGGTGGGCAGCAGAGTTGAGGAGCCAGAAAAACACAGTCACCAATCTGTTCTCTAGCCTGTTTTCTGTCCAGATTTGCAATGGAATCTACATGTTACGGGTGAAATGGGTATGCTGACAGCAGTCTGTTCTTCCAGCTGTTCTTTCTAAACAGCTTTATGTATCCTTCCTTCGGTGAAGAAGAGGCCTGCTGCGAACTAGATAATAAACCTCAAGTGCTTCAGTATTTTTTCTTCTTGTCTCAATTATCTAACTGGCAGCACTAGGATTGGAGGGTTCTGCTTTCTTGAGCCTGCAGCTGAATATTTAGTTTCCCTAAATCTGTCCAGACCTTGAGAGAAAGAAGTGGTACAGCATGGCTGTGATTTTACTTAACCTTAGACCTCTGCAGCCTAGATATCAATATGAGCTAGTTTTCCATAGCACGCTCTATAGTCAGTGGAGATAAACAGGTATTTTTAGGCCATGATTCATCTTCATCTATTTTAGCTACCTGCTTTGGTGAACTTGGAGACACGAACTGGTTGTGAGAAGTGCTTATTTCTCTCAGCTGATGGGACAAGATGTATAGTCAGTTGATTCAGAGGCAGAGGGGTACCTTGGACCAGAAAAATCCTTTTCCTTGAGATTCTGCATAGTTTCCCTCCTTGCTTCCCGTCCTTCAGACACCGATCATGTCACCAGCTGGCTGACTGGCTCCAGAGGAACTTCACGTACTCTGGATGAAATTTGCAGTGGGGTTTGGTCGGGGTGTGAGGTGTGGAGCATGGCTTCTCAGTGTGCTTGCCTCTCCTCACTTCTCCAAAGAGAAGCCTCTTGGGGACTTGAAGCCACTGAACCTTAAGTACTTTCTTAGTGTGAGAACTCAAGGAAAGATGAACAGAATTCGCACGTCTGCTGCGTCTGGCAGCATTCCAGCTGTTTTGGTATTCATCTGTCTGTAAATGCTGAGACTTGAATATGGTTCTTTATTTGGTAGGCTAAGTAATCAGTCCTGACAGAGCTGCTTATGATTCTCCAGCAAAACAGCACCGAAATTGAAACAATTAACGTTCCTTGCACAAGAGAAGCAGCACTTTATCTAATGTTGTCAATAGTGATTAGGTTTAACTTGCAGCTCCCGGTAACATAATTGGTAAATTGCAAATTTTGATGCCATTTGGAGGAACATTTTAGAACAATAACCTCAGTGGTTAAATTAATATTGAAGAACATGAATACTTTTGCTAGAAATGCCTCTTTGCCTTCCAAAAGCTTGTAATGTTATACTTAGAAATAAAAGTTCTCTGAAGGACTAGAGACAGAAAGAAATATCAGCTGTAAGTGATGGATTCCCAGATCTCTTTGCTTTGTTGCTCTGCATAGCAGTTAGGAGGAGAATTTCTGTGTTCCCAGGCCTAGCCATTATTGATACGCGATATAACTACTGACTTATAAAATGCTGGTTGCTGCTTAAATATCTAGTCTGTTTTTAGGAAATTCTATCCTATGTTTTGTTTTGCTGTTGTTGATGTGCGCCTTACAATGCAGAATGTACCATATTAATTCCAGTGCTTGCTCAGCTGCACATACAGCAATCCCCTCAAAAGGAAAATAATATTTTTTCTTTGAGATTTCTATTTCAAACTCTTTTCATTGCCTTAAACAGGAAATTTGTAATATCAGTGATTGCTACAAACAAGGGAATATGGCTTCCTTACCTCTGAAGGCCACCTGCCCCCAAGCATGTGCATCATTTTAAAATAAACACATTTCCGGATTCGTGGCTGAGTGCTTTTTGTGTCCATTCTGAGGGCTAAATATGTCACATAAACCCTTCTCTGACTCACAGTAACAAGAGCATTTTTACAGACACTTGAGTAACAACAAAATATTTCTGTCTTTTCATACAGCTCATACCAATGTGGTTGCCAATGATACAGTCAAATCTAAAGGTATGTTGTTTCTTGCACTTTGCTTTTTTATTGCTGTTGTTCCCTTTCAACCTTAACGATTCTGTGATTCTGTGTTGTGTATTTCTGTAAATTAACTGTCAGTTAGTTGAGACTCACTTATTAGACTTGGTTACCCAACTCTGAAAATATGACACTGTAGCTCACCCAGATGCAGTGGGCAGCTCAGCACTGAAGGTCTCAGATAGGAGCAGACAGGAAGCATCATCAGCCAACATACTAGTCCTCTACTTAGTGCTATTTTTCCTTTCGCTTTGGAAACCCTCCTTCTAACCAGGGGTCAGTGGAAGGGCCTTTCCCCCTGTTTTACTGAGGTTGACTGTTCCCTTAGGTTTGAAGACTTTCTTTTGACAACTGAGGCTTGGGAGCCCTTACTGGGGAGATGGGTTTTGGTTCCTTAGCAGTTACTGTTGGCCTGTGTGGGGTAACGCTGTCCTAGCTGGCTCTTTGTGAGGATGAGTGAGGTGTACCAGTGCAGTTTGCCCTTCAAGAGGGTTTTTGTGATGGGAATAAAGATGCTACAGATAAATCTTGTGATTTGCAAGCTGCAGTGCAGAACATGGAAGAAAGAAATGTGATACTGGGCCAGTGGAGGAACTCTCCATGGCTAAGAATCAATTTTTGATGAAGACAATATATTTTACTTGTGTTAACGTGTGTACTGAATAAAGAGAGAAACTGAATGTCTGAAATTGTTCCAACAGCATTTATCTGCTGGGCTCCAACTACGCCTTCAAGCCATTCAGAGTAATGTCAACCATCACAGCCTAAGGATGTTACAGGGGTCAGGACAAATGAGCAACAGCTCCTCTGTGCTCCGCAAATGGCTACAGTGCACTCAGTTTAAAATGGCTCAAGTGGAAATTCAATCGTCAGAGGCTGCATCTCAGTTTTATCCTTTATGATTCATGTAAATTTTTTCCACATGTGTATTTTTAGTGTAGCAATAACAGGGTTAAAGCTATAAAACAGAAGTCCACTTTTGTATAAATCAGTATACAGAATATATACTGTATCTATACTTTTTAGCTTAGGACAAATTGTGTAAAAGCTTATAATGGGTGAATTAAGAACCTGATCCTGCCAGTCCTTAATTACACTTATTCATTTTTGCTCAAATGAGCAGAGTCATTTGATCGGGTCCTTAAGTCTGTATTCATGGTCAAGTATTTGCAGGATTGGACTCAAATCTTTCATGTTGTAGATATCCTTCTGCCCATTGAAATATCTGATTCTTAAATGTTTATTTACATTATTTTTGAAATTGAGACAAAATTCACTTTTCTTTAACTTCTATTTTTTTTAAAAAACTAGAATTGTGGGTATTCACTAATATATGAAAGTGCCACGTTGCTATTTTTCAATGCTAAAAAAGAAAATGCTAAAAAGAGTTTTTAGGAACCTTTTTGTGTGTGTGTGTATATGGTTTTTTGTTTGTTTGTTGTTTATTTATTTTATTTTATTTTTTTCTAAGATTCACAGCTGGCAATGCAATAAAATCTGTCACCATAAACCAGTCATGTTCTAATGAGGCTTTGTATGATCATCTTCTGGGAAAACAGCAACTTGTAAGGAGAGTTATTATAAAGTGCACTTAGAAATTAGGTTGTTAAACTTTGCCAAATCATTTATCTTTTTGTCAATATTATTTTCCAAAACTGACAAGTCTGATTTATTATTTTTTGAAATACTGTTTTTACTTCATTGATTCTGTGCTGCTTTTCTATGTAGGTTTCATAGAAGCCACTTTAATTTTGTGAATACTGTATTGTATTCTTCTGTCAATGCCTGTATACAGTGCAATTAAAAATGGATAACTCAGACCTATTCTTACTGATGTCTCCAGAACTTGTATTGCAGCCTTCAGTGGGAACAGGATCAGACCTGAACATTTGCATTATGGTATGACCAAATTATAGCATTGCCATGAGATTGTATTGAATGTGGTGTTTAATAACAACTGGATTTAAATATCATTAAGGCAGTCTGCCAAAGCCCATTGGAATTTGAGACTCACATAATTCAGTAGGTTTTTCATCAAATCTTGAGTACCAAGGTTTACCATCTCTTAAAATTATTATTTAAATCTGTGCAATCACAGTTGTATTTCCTGTATTTATTGCTGTAATACACTGATTGGAATAACAAATATAAATTTACACTGTATATTAGAGTGCTATTAAATTCGTATTCTTTATTGCCACTTGCAGTTTTCCCCTCCTATTTGTATAGCAGTGAACAGGCATACATATGAAGAATTGCTTGAGTGTATATTTCACTAATTGTGCAAGGTCAATCTGCCCTTGGTGCATTTACCAAAGGAAAAATGGAAATGTTTTGAAATATATTATTAAAGTACCATTATGCTTCAGGGAAAAAAAAAAGAGACTAGTAAAGTGTTACTAGTTTACTAGAAATATCCCTGCCATGTGTATTCAGTATTTCATTAAATGCCTTTAAGATAAGAATGATAAAGGGAAAATATAATTTCCCTTTTCTCCTGATAATTTTACTGAACCAATGCACTAATTTAGTGCATAACCAAGACACTAATTTAGATTTCCTTCCCAGATTCAGACATTCACGGAATCTGTGCTCAAAATGGACCGTTCTATAAAAAAAAAGACAAATAGATGCATTTTAAATTCTTTAATTGCAACTAGTTTGGCTTACATTGAGGTGACTTGCCTTTAAGCAGAATGTGTTTCTCCAAAACATGTCAGTCTTGATCTAAATGTTAAGAGATCCACCACAAGGAAGTTTCCTGGTGTTTTAGGCATTGCTTCTTGTTCTGCTGAATTGAGATTGCACACAGCAGTAAGGGAGGTAAACCTGCTAAGAGAAATGGTAAGAGAAAGGAAACAATGTTTTCTTGCCCCAGATTTTGACTGAAGAAAGAAAGAAGAAAGAAGAGATCTGCTGTTTTCCCTCCTGTATGTGGCATTCAGGCAAGAAGGTGCTGTACCTGGGTTTGTTTTGTGGGAGTTTAGATCTGATTTCAGCTCACGACTTAAGAGATAAGAGCTGGTTGCAGATTCTAGCTCTGTATCTGAAGATGGCCTGCAGAGTTTTACTTTGCATCCCTGGACATCAGTGGTATTTAATGTGGTCCAAATGTAGTATGAATTGTCAAATAAGATACAATATGAATTGAGAAGCTGCTCTATTGCAAAGAACAAAGCCTGGAAGAGGGTTTGTTGATTATTAGGGATATATTGACAAACAACAAGTAATGTGTGTCTTGGCCAGATGTGTTAGATTTAAAACCTCTGGTACATGGGGATCTATTTGAAGTGTCATGAAAATCCCTAAATACATTTTAGGCATTTTTCAAAAAAATTGCAAAAATCTACTTTAATTGTTTTTAAAAACAGTGTAAAATACATCTTTACAGTGTTTTAGGTCAATATGCAACTCAAGTGAGTCATTCATGTTATCTCTCTGAAATAGCCCAGAGCCACAATTCTTTATATTTTGTAGGCAGATTAGGAAGTAAACAACATTTGGTGTTCTGTTTAAATGCTACCAAATAACACAAGCCAATCTTCTTGCTCTGTTACGCTCCCAGAGTGCCTGTCTCTTTGTGTATGTGTCAACAGGAGTCAGGCGCTGCATTAGGCTCCATCTTCTGCGTGAGCGTAAAGAACTGCAGTTTAGAAATAGTATTTAGTCATATGTTGGGATAAGCTGCTTAAATCAATGCTTTTTACCAGGGCTGACCTACTAAAGGAATCAATTTATTGTGCACTGAACTGTGAAATTTCCAACAACACGGGGCACTTTGGGTAAAATGATGGTTAAGCAAACAGCATGCATGCAGGACAACATACTGGTAAATTATGTAACTCTCTGTCCTGAAAGTAAGGTTAACATATACACTGACTACCTTGCATTACTGGGCAGTCTTTTCTGCGGTCTATTAAGAAAGTCAGTATCTGATCTCTGGGGAGAGCTATGCAGACAAAAGGCTTTCTTCAGCACATCACTTACTGTCTATATAGATGCCTTATCGTATATGTAACGTTTCAGTGACATCTAATTAGAGCTGTGCCAGGGTCAAAGGCCCTAAAAACACACTGTCAGTCTTCTGGTTCTGTTTCTTTTCATGATCTGACAGGACCTGATGTGCTGTAGGATTGATAAGTGTTCTGGGCCCCAATTTTTTTATGAACTCCAGCCTGCTGAGCCCCCTTTCAAGCTGGATGAAGTTTACCAGAGCCCGCCCCGCCCCCCCCCTTTTTTTTTCCCTCTTGGTTAGCATGTTCTGAGAAGGAGCTTTGAAGCAAAGGTTCCCAGGGCTGTTTCCCTGTGTTGCATACAGTTTTAACAGAATCTGGTCTGTGACTTTAATTTTCCCATCTTACTGCAGCAGCAGTACCAAAGTGGGATTTGAATCTTGCTTGTGTGATGGCCTGTTGGTCAACTGGGTGGCTCTTCGGATTAGCAATGGGCCTAAAATCAGGCTGAGGCAACGTCAATATAGTTGGTTTAAAGCTGAAACATCATTTGTTTGAGTTGATGCAAATTTAAATGGAAAGGCTTTGCTTTTGTCTGTTGATTTAAAAACTTGAATTACTCAGTTGACGTGTGCCTTTTCCTGCTGTGTACAACATCAGCTGGAGGCTGAGCATCAAGGGAGGGCAGTCAGAAGAGCAAGTGTGAGAGAAGGCATCCTGATGCCTCTCCAGCTGTAAAGGATGTGGGAAGAGACTCTGATGCTCCCCATAGCACCAGCCTTTCCAGGGATTGCTGCAAGGGAGTCTAAGGCTGCTGTTGGAAGCACCTTTTGGTAAGATAACCGAAGGCCCAGTGAGAAGGAGGCAGCTCTGCTGGGATTTGCTCTAGTGCCTGAATCATGCAGCAAAGAGCTGGGTGGTCTCAGCCGTTGCTGGGTTGGGAAGGTGTGTCACAGTCCTGCATGCAAACAGCAGCAAACTGTGGTGTTTGTAAGAACCGGCCAAGTTCTCATCAATAGTCATGAAGAATTAGAATGGAAAAACAAAACCAGTGGCTTAGTAACGGGAAATCTACCTAGCCAGTTACTTCCCGGGATTTTCCTGAAATTGATAAATACTGTTGGACTTCCAATTTACTGGTGAGCAGCCCCAAGAATGATTCTCTGATATTGTGTTCCCAATCAAACCTGACAAACCGTGACTGTGAGCTGGGAGGCTCTGAGTTTGATGGATTTAATGCAACGCTAGGTCAATTTTGATTATGCATAATTCAGCAGCATGGCAACAAAACTGTTAGGGCTGTTTGAACATTTTAGAGTTTAATATTTTCCTCTTATAAAGGTGCAATAGCACATTTGTGATGTTTTACACACACAACAAAAATGTCACAGGTAATCCTCTCTTTGGGCAGGTTTGCTTTTCTGGCAGCTCCATTATTTTCATGTGAACTCAAATTCCTTGCAGAGAAGTTACTTACAAAAGCATTTCTAAATCTAAGAATCCTTGCCATGCAGGAAAATGTCAGTAAAACAGAATATAAATGACTCCCCTTAAAATAAATAAATCATTAAAACTATTATAAATTTTGCACTACTGGGGAAATCCTGTGTAAATAATATTGATGGGTTAGATCTAAAATAAGTAGATATTACCAGAGGATTGCATAATACACTGATTAATCCATCAGCCATTGCTGTCCCCAGAGAGAATAGTAGTTCATGTTTGTACTGTGATGCTCCCTTTTGGCAGGCTCTCTGGGAATAAAAGCCTGGACCCTTAAAGGATTTTGGGCATTGATTTTGAAGTGAGCTGGCACTTGAAAATCATTGCAGGCCTGGGTGTAAGGCTTTCAATTACTCCTTAGTACTGGAGACTTTTTTTTTTGGAGGGTGTTCTGTTGCCGAGATGTTCCCTTTAGGAACTTGATTAAAGATGGATAGTACTTTAAAAACTACAGAAAGGAAAATATATTTCCATCACTGAGAGCACTCATTTTCTTTCAAGATAAAAAGAAGATTTCAAATTCTTTGAAATATTGCAAGGGTGATCCCCAAAGCATCTCTGTAGCCTGGGTAGCAAACATGCTGTCTTTTTTGTGCTCAGAGCGTTGCAGAAGCAGCTAGGCTTTTTAGAATAACTTTTTAATTAAAGCAACAAAATGTGCCACTCACCCCAGATCTCAAGTGGCCCCCTCCTTTGTCTCCTAAATAGCAGTTATGATTTCAGCTACTTTCTCACCACTTACGCTAAGCAAACATCAGAAAGCAATCAAGACTGAAGGGCCAAAGAATCTCAGGTTAAT